GGAGAGGACAAGGAAAGACAAGGAAAGCATTCTGAGGAGACACGATCTTATCAGCCATCACCGAAGTGAGATCTGTGTTGACCACCCTTCATGATGCCATACATGGACAGAAACAACTTTGACTGATTGGCCAGTCCATCGGTCTTATTAAAGTAAAAGCTCTTTGGGACTTACCGCCCAGCAGATCCTCTATTCAGCTAACTACAGGAAAGGTCCTTACCGGCCTTTTCGCACACATCAGTCGTGATCTGATTCGCACCTCAGTCTTCAGCACCTTTCAGCTCGCAGGAGGAGATGCGATCCTTTCCCTGCGTCTTTCTCCATCTGTTTCAATCACATACGGCTTGTCTGAAGCACCCGGATCTCGCTTATCCATCACCATTTCCGCAGCGAGTAACCGCTGCGTCTTTTCTCATCCGTCGCCACGTCAGTCACCCTCATCATTGGATTCGTGCAGCCAAACGCGCAATGTGTGCCGAACCGACTGCAGCTGCTGCGCCAGATCAGCTGATGGCATCGAGTCAATCAGCATCACGGCCGAATGAGGCGGCGGGTAGGGAGGGGAGAGGACGGAACAGGCGGCGTCAGCGACACAACGACAGCCACGACGTGCAGCTATCGAGGAGTCTGTCGATGGTGCTGCGGCACAAGGCGGCCGACTTTGGCCTTAATGTTCGGCCTGATGGGTTTGTTCGAGTGGACGACCTCATGCGGCTGAGTCGATTCACCGACTACTCGGTGCAGCAGCTCCACAGCGTGGTCGAGAATAACGACAAACAACGCTTCTCTCTGTGGACGGACGACGAGGGAACAGAATGGTCGGTGACCACGCGCACTCACAATGGCAGGCAGGCAGGCAGGCGGGCAACATGCCTCATTTGTGTGATCTTCTTTTTGTACTTCTTGTGTCAGGATAAGGGCGAATCAGGGCCACTCAGCGGGTGTCAACGTCTCAGCCGACGAGCTGTATGAGCGTATCGAGAGCGCAGAGGACATCCCCGTGTGTGTCCATGGCACGAGCGAGGGGGCGTGGGAGGCCATCAGGCGTCAGGGGCTCAAGAAGATGGGCAGGCAGCACATCCACTTCGCGCCTGGGTAAGGATCGGGTAACTCTCTCCGTCTGTCTGCCTGCCTGCCTGCCATTGTCCCATTTCTCTCTCTGTGTGTGTCGTTGTGTGCTGTTGTCAGTCTGCCAGGCGAGAGCGGTGTGATATCTGGGATGCGGTACTCGTGTTCGGTCTTCATTTACCTGGATGTGGCCAAGGCAATGGAGAGGGGCGTGGTGCTCTACCGATCGGCCAACAATGTCATCCTCACGGAGGGCCTCGACGGCACCATCCCGCCCAACCTCTTCGCCTCGGTCAGCCACGCTGACGGCAGGACGCTGTGGCCTGGCAACGGGCAGCAGCCGCAGGCAGACGTCCCACAAGCAGCTGACGAAGCCGCAGCACGGGAGATGCGGGCGAGGAGGGAGAGGGAGGGAGGGGTGATGGCGGCAACAGCAAAGTAGAGAGCCAGGAGGGGAGTGTGAAGCGACAGAGGAGGTGGCGGAATACCTGACAGAGGCTGTGACCTTGTGTAACAATCCATGCGTTGTTTGCTCTGCTTTGCTTCGATGGAAACATGTATGTGTGAGTATATATATGTGCGTATGTGTGATTGATCGACCGTTGGAATGACTGACAGAGCGACTGATTGTTTGTCTGAATGTCTGTGTGCAATTGACTCGCTGCCGTTGCTTGTGCTTCTCTCTCTCGCGTGACTGATTGACTGAGTGTGAGGGATGGAGGAGCCCGAGCTGCAGGGCAACAGACTCAAGCGCAAGCACTCACGAGGCAGCCACAGCTCACATCGCAACAAGAAAAACAAGAAAGACCGGTAGAACCTCTGCAGACACACACACAATGTCACCATTCTTCGTTCACTGCCTTTGTTTTGTTTTGTTTCGTTCAGAGACGCGTCGAGCAGCGGCCAGGAGGACAAGCAGCGATCAGACGACGAGAACCACGACAGAGAGAGCGCCGTCATGCTCTCGAGGCTGCGCTGCCAACTCATACCGGTGCACACACACTCTCAATGAGCATCCGTTGTGAGTGTGTGTGAATGTGGATGTGTGTGTCTCAGGTGAAGGAGGAGGGCGAGCAAGGAACCGACAAGGAGGACGATGGTGACCAAGACAACGACAATGAGGACGAGGCCGGCCGCCAGCACGACAGCACCTCGGGCCGATGGATGCAGCTGCTGGCCATGCTGCAAGAGGAGCAGAGACTCGAGGTCGGTCGCTGTGTGTGTGCATCGATTTGTGGGCCTCAGGTGTGTCTGTCGTCAGTCTGCTGCTGCTGGTGCGTCTCGCGCTGCTGGCAACACGTCGGAGGCCGCTGCTGCTGCGGCGGCGGCCGACCAGAGCAACAAACGGGTCAGCCAAGCCAGGAAGGAATATGGGCGATGGATGGATGGATGGACTTGTGTGTGTGCAGGATGGATCGATGATCGAGAAATGCTCCATCCTGTCGTTCTTCAAGTGACTCGACCATACATCGACAGACAAAAATGGTGGCATTCGTGTGCAATCGAAGGCTACTCAGACCATTTGTGGCACAGAAACCATTCGCTGGGTCTGCGTGTACAATGCTTTGGTTCGGTTTGACTGGACCAATTCCCTACGGACACATAAACGTCTTTGACACAGAAACCCAGTACTCCATCCATACACGCGTCAGTCAGTCATTCTCCTCTGTGGCACACACACGCCGATCGCCAGCCAGCCAGCACCCCTCACCCCACCACCCTCCCCCTGTCGATGACGGCACTCCCGAGCTCGAATGGCCGCAGCAGACGGCGGGCGGCACCAACCGACACAGAGTAGCGCTGGGCGAGCGGCTGGGACCGATCGGCAGCAGATGGCTCGGTCGTGTGCAGACTGATCGAGCCATATCCCCCCGTCTCAACCGACACGTGGGCGGCGACGGTCTCGTTGGGCCGAAAGCAGCTCACAATCACACGACGATTGTCCCTCGGATACGCAGAACCCAGATTGCCCCCGTCGTAGCGCCAGTCGGCAGTAATGCCCTGATCCTCTGTCATGTTGTCGGTCGTCAGCAGACGGCGATGACGAGCGTCGTCACCATAGCCGATGCCTGCCGACAGCACCCGCCTCTCGCTCACCCAATCTTCATCGTACCACCAGCTGAGCAGCATGTCGAGCAGGAAGGCCGAGAATGAGCGCACGAGATAGTTGCTCCAGCGGATGACGGGATCGGTCCGCTTGTAGCCCTCAGCATAGCGATGGCCGCCCGGCAGATCACCCAACGGCACCACACGAAACGTCCAACCGCCAATCCGATAGTGGCCGTTGTCGGCTCGGCGCAGCTCCAGGCTGGTCCCTTTGTGTGTGAGCTGGTGGCCGATGATCTTGTAGATGGCCATCGCCAGGGGCAGCTGGTGGAAGGCCGTTGCTGTGGGCAGCGAGGAAGCCGACAGCCGGAGGGGCCGCGTGGCGTCAGCAGGGGTTAGCCGATAGATGAAGGCCAGCCGAAGGAACCGCCCCATTGCCCGCCACTCCTCGCCACTGCCCCGCTTCAGCAGATAGACCACCTTCAGGCCGCCCTCCAGATCATCGTCAATGTCGAAGGCCAACACGTCCGCCAGGCCGAGACGACTGATGTGCTCATCCACGCGGCGCCTCACCTCATAGAGCATCGTGTCGACATCATAAGGATCGCTGTTGCTGATCTGTGAGCGAAAAGCGGCTCGTCTGTTGGGGTCAGTGGACATGGCCATGCCGGCCATCTTTCTGATTGCGATGCTGCGCAGTGGTGGGACTGCCGGCGGGGCGGTGTGGCCATTGGGAGGGGGAGGCGGAGGCTGGGAAGAGGACGCCATCAGTCAGTCAACTGATCTGAATCAATGACACACACAAAGTGGCAATCAGTGCTCCCGAGATGAGTGTGCGTCTGTGTGCTAACCTCAAAACACTTGGCTATGAACAAATCTCTCTCAGCAGCCCAACACCATATGGGTGGGCGATGATTGACTCTGCAGGGACACACACGCAGCGTGGCAAGCCCGTGTGCTCACGAGCATCGGTCAAAATCAGTCAATATCACAGCGAGGGAATCGGACGAGCCACCTACCGTCAGCAATGGCCTCCAGCGGCCCAAATGAAGCAATGGTGTGGCTATGTGGCCGTCGTCGTCAGCGAGCCCAACGAGGCACTGTGGGAGATCTGCAGGCACACAAAACACCGAAGCACAAGCTGATTGAATTTTTCAACGCTTCATCTGCCTCTCTCGCTGCCACCTTACCCTCTCTAAGCGTCTTGAGAGCTCCAGAGGCCTTTTGGCGCTTATTGCCGACCTGCGAGCTTTGGCTTTACGTCATCTTTTTTCGGTATTCTTGACAACAGGGCCGCGTAGAGTGTCGGGAAGATGCCCAAAGAGCCGCTGTGATGACATCGATCAACACAGATGTGGCCGTCATCTGTCTGAGTGACGCCGATCTATCGCATTGAGGTGAGGGAGGGGACGCAGGAGGGCCTGATGACATCAGCAATGATAGCCTGTGTGGTTTCTGTGTGTTTGCGGCAGATTTGACGCCTTTGGGTATCGTTGTGCGGTTGAGGGAGAGAGGAGGAGAGCGCTCTGTCGTTGGTATCGGAGACCATCATGGGCTGCAGTGCGACCAAGGTACGGGAAGGAAAGACAGCCGCTCGGATGTTGACAGATCGATGAAGCGCCACAAATCCATTCACTGATATGATGTCCGTGATGTGTCTGTCGCGGATGTGCAGATCACGTCGGCTGCTGCTGAAGGAGGTGGTGGTGGCTCCATAGCTGACGAGCCGTCCTCGTCGGCTGCGTCTGCCGCCAATGGTAACCAACAAGTTCGCTCGAGAAAGGCACGACAATGCCGGCACACAGCTGTCTGTCTGTTTATGTGGCGTTTTGCAGGTGCGGTCAGTGCATCGTCGGCGAACCACCACCAGCAACAGCAGCATGATCGCCTTATCAGTGCCGCTGACGTGCCGCAACACCTCGCCCCGACGGTCGCCGAGTACGTCAGGAGTTACTCACAGCTGGAGGCCCTCATCGACGCCCATCCCACCCTCCGCACTCCCTCCCTGCTGCTGCCGATCCTCATACGACTGCTGCCCGTAGTGGTGGACGTGCCAGTGCCCCAGCTGGCCCTGGACGTGGCTGCTCCGGCGACCTCCCCTCATGGCAGCGCCCTCTCCCGATTTCTCCTGCCGCTCGTGATGCGTTCGCTGGGGGTGCTGCTGCCTACTGTCGGCCTCGGCTCATTCCTGATGCGCATAATCCCCCAATTGCCGCTCCCTCGATCACTCAGCCACGGCTGCCGCATGGCAATCGCCATCGAGCAGCTGACCCGCCGGCTGAAGAGGCTCGAGAGGGGCGGCGATTGGGCCAGATGGCGGCCTCACCTGGAGATGCTGTACCTGCTGCAAGGCAGGAGGCCTGTGGTGCTGGGTGACGAGAGCTTCGGTGTGTTCGGCAGCCGGGCGGCCTTCGTGATTGAGACAGAGGCGGTCCGGCAGTGGAAGATACTCAGCCGGGGCGTCACTGTCACTGATCATGATGGCCGGCACAGACAGGTGATGGACGGCGACAAGGTGCGCTGCTACAGCTTCAGCCTCAGGCACTGGGGCTATAGCCTTCCCACCCTCCTCCCCTCTGCCAGCCCCCTCTTCCCTCACGTACCATTTGACCCCGCCGACCCGCCCACAGAGCGAGACGGCTTGACATACCGCAGCTACACCTCAATAATGGCCTTCGTCCTGTTCTGCTGGCTCAGGTGTGGGGGCCACCTCCCTTGCATCAGATCCTGGATTTCTTGGCGTCGTGACTCTGCTGCATCCCGGCGTGTGAGGGAGCTGCTGGCGGCCTCTCCCAGCGATGCGGCACAGTGGGGGGCGGGGGCGACCGTATTCGACAGGAAGGATGGGTATGAACGGCATTATCGTTTGGTGGTGCTGGGCAGTGAGGCGGTGGGCGAGGGGCACATGGCGGTCATTTGGCTGAGCGATCGGGAGGGTCATTCTAAGGATGTCATCATACATTCAACCGAGCCGGCCCCCCACGACCGCACACGCGATATCGTGATGAGAGGTCTGGGGCCCCACCTGGGGGGCATCGCGTGGTGGGAGGAGTGAGAATGCTGAATGGATGGTAGCAGCAAGACGATAGATTGTGGTATGTCCTGCCAGTCAGTGCATGAGGGTCTCGGCCACCACTGAGCAGATTGTCGATCATCGTTTTCAAGCAGCAGACCGACACAGACAGACAGACAGACAGACAGACAACGGGTTGTTGCCCATCCTTCTATCCATCCATCCATCCTGTGGTATGTCTGTCTGTCTGTCTGTCTGTGTGTGTGTGTGTGTGTGCATTATGGGGGACGGGATGACGTGTGTGTGACTGACCACCAGGCGTCCTGTGAAGGGTTGCGTTGATTGTGAATGAATGCTGGAGGGGAGGTGAGTGTGAAGCGACTGAGGAGGTGGAGGAATGACAAATGTGACGATGTGTATGTGTGTGTGTGAATTTGTTTGTGATCGATCGACCATTGCAATGACGGACAGAGCAACTGATTGTTTGTCCGTCTGAATGTCTCTCTGACTCGCTGCCGTTCACGTTGCCTGCGCTTCTCTCTTGGTGATCGATGAGTGAGTTTGTTCAAGTGACTTCAATCGACAAAAAAAAGCTGGCTTCTAGTCACCGAAGTGCATAGATACCGAGAAGATCCCACAACGAGATGAAGGCAGAAAGCCCGTCACGCCACTGCACTCATCCACAGTGAGAGAGGAGAGAGAGATACCGATGAAATATACACTAGCAGATAGACAACAGACGTACCTATCGCTTCATGATCATGATGACAACTACGGACAGGCCGTGTGCGGTGTGGTTGTGTAGTCTGTGTGTATGTATTTTGTTCTACGTAGAACAATGACTATGTGTTCTGGTTTGCTGAACGAGGGGACGCACAGACGGACAGACAGAGAGACAAATAGACAGACAGAAAGGGACCGTGACTGTCAGCCAGCCTCCATGCGTCTGTGGGTCTGTGGGTCTGTCTGTGTCTGTCTGAGCTTTGCTTTGGTTTGGTGTGACTGATCCACTTCCCCACGGACACAAAAGCATCGCTGGCTACCTGTGGGTGGGGAATGGCGAAATCAGCCTGTGGACGATCGAGTCCCCTGCTGCCGATCGGTCTCATCCGCTCGCTGTCCGCTATCCAGTGTCGGTTGGTGCCGTCCGCCGTCTGCTGCGGCCATTCGGTCTCGAGCGTGACGTCATCGACAGGGGGACGGTGGTGGGGTGAGGGGTGGTGACCTGATAGGTGTTCCGGCATGTCGACCGACCAGAGCGTTTTAACGCGCCAAACGGACTGCCTCTTTTCTGATGAGAGTCGGCTCTGCCTCGCGTCGGTCGTGCCAGCATGAATGAATCAATGTCTCACTCGTTGTTATGGGACACTTTTGACTGCACATTAGTGAGTGAATGAATGGATCAGTGCAGATGACCCTCGACTCGTCTGATGGTCACATCGATCAACAAACGTCCTCGACCGTCACCGCCCCCTTCTTTCTTCCTTCCTCACTCATCCCTGAAGATCTGTCTCCGAATTTGGTGACGGCAGGGCCGTGTGGAGTGTCTGACGGATGCTCAAGGAGCTGCTGTTATGCTCTCGATCCGCACACGTGCTGCCATCTCATCTGAGTGAGGCGGATCTGACAAGTTGAGTTGATGTAGGGCGGGCAGGAGGGCCTGATGACGTCAGCAATGATAGCCTCTGTGGTCTCTGGTGTGTTGGTGCATTGGTTTGGTTCGTTTGCACACAGAAAGTCATTCGCCATGCATATGAATCAATGCTTGTTCATTCTCGCAGTCGGTGAGTCAGCGAAAGGCATACATACCACGCTGTTCAGTCAGTCACATAAACTTACATAGAGAATGATCGATGCTCAAGGAACCAGCGACTCGATTGACAACAAAGACTGACGTACAGAGCAGGGGGGGAAGAGCCCAACTAGGCTATGTAATGTACATACACCCATCCACCATCCCCACCCACGCAGCCTCTTCACACATGCATCTGCAACTAACTACCTTGGGCTGCCCACAGCGGCGACGCGCTGACGCAGCCCATCCCCTTCGGCTGGATTGCCCGCCTGCTGCGGCATTCCTTCAACAGGAGGACCCTCAATTTGCGTCAGGACAGTGTCACATGATAAAGGTGAGCCTCTGGCGGGTGGTGAGACATTCCCTGAGAAAAGAAGAAACGACCTCACACAGTCTCAGTTGGAGATATGCCTGCCTGCCTGCCTGCCTGCCGCCCGCGTCGCTCACCACCATTGGACGCCTGGTTCACAGCAGGCCCGACCATCTGATGGCTGGTATTTGCGCTCGTCTGTTCCTCCGCAGCCCCTCCAGGCTGCGGACCGGCTTCTTGAATGCGTTTGCGCAGCTCCTCTCGCGCCTTTCTCAGCAAGCCCTCCAAGAACCGGCAGCGTTCGATAGCCTCATCGACATCGATCTCGCACTCCAGAAAGTTCATCTGGCGGCGATGGTCGTTGGGGTCTGCATCCAAGCGCTCCTTGGCGAGTTGCTTGCATCCGGACAGCTGCCCGATGTGCTGGCCAGACCAGCTGGTGAGGGATTTCAGTTCGTTGACCGTCCGCTCCGCCTCCTCGCGCGTCGCCCAGCGGGTGAGCTCCTTGTACCTCTCATGTCGGACAACCGCTGAGTTGACCCAGCCAGGCGTCCAGGACGGACAGTGGTCGAGCAGCCAGGTGTACAGCCGGATGCGGAAGACGCCAAACAAGCCGACGGCGCACGCCACGAGGGCCGCCACCGACACAAGCCCGAAGAACCACGACATTTCTCCGGAGGGCAACTGGGAATCAGACGAACTGCACGTGGAGGGCCGGACGGCAGCCCGTCACCAGGACTCTGCAGACACACAACAGCACAGATGCGGTGTGTACAAGTGCTATCATATTATGCAGCACCACACAGGCTCACCGAGGCCGTCGCAAAAGCGGCGGAAGTCGTCACCTCTCAGCGAGAAGGGTGCGAAAAGGGTGAGCGATAGATCTGCAGGCAAACGTGCACAAACCACAAGGCACCAGCAATTTGAAGCGCTTCGTTGATTTTGCCTCTCTGCCTATCCTCTTACCCTCCAATGAGGGGACGGGCTTCGTAGCAGCGGTTTCAGGAAGCACCCTTTCAAGATCTGCGAGCTTTTCATGAGTTCCTCGTCGGGTTTCACAGCGGGTGGGCGTAATGCACAAGGGCCTACTGTGATGCCATCGATCTGCATGCACCGTCCGAGTGGCGCTGATCTAATGCTGCGAGGTGCCCTCATCCCTGCGACGCCGTTCGGACGCTCTGAGGTGAGAGAAGGGCAACCAGGAGGGCCTGATGACACCAGCAATGACATCCCTGTGTGGTTCCTCTGTGTGATTGTGGCAGATCTGTGACTCACTAAGGGCTTCTTCCGTCGGCATGTTAACCGATGTGCGGCGATGGCTGAAGGGCTTATTCGCGGTGAGCCAGGCGATGGGAGCAGCCTACAGTGAAACGGTCTGTCTGTGTTGATGTTGACTGCAGACATCGTCTGACGCATCAGCCACTGTCTTTGCCGCTGACGTGCCGCAAGATGTCGCCCCGACGGTTGCCGAGTACGTCAGGAGTTACTCACAGCTGGAGGCCCTCATCGACGCCCATCCCACCCAGTTCACCGCCGCCGTCCTGCTGCCCATCCTCAAGCGGCGGCTGTCCGTCGTGGTGGCCTCGATCTTTGGTGGCCTGGTGGAGGTGCCCCTACCTCAGCTGACTCAGAGTGTGTCCATCATTGTGGCCATCACACGTCGGCTCTTCATCCTCGAGAGGGGCGGCGATTGGGCCAGATGGCGGCCAGTGCTGGAGATGCTGTACTTGCTGAGGGGCAATAGGCCTTTGGTGCTGGATGACGACGACTTCGGTGTCTGCGGCAGCCGGGCGGCCTTCATCGGCGAGACCGAGGCCGTCCGGCAGTGGAAGATACTCAGCCGGGGGGTCCCTGTCAGTTTTCGAGGCCAAATGATACGACTGATGGGCGCCAACATGATTTTCCGCCGCGGCGCCAACACGAGCCAGTATCTCCTCACCCCTCTGGACGGACCGAGCCCCCTCTTCCCTAATGTATTCGATCCAGCCAATCCGCCCACTCAGCTGAGAGACTGGACGAGCCCCAGCTACACATCGATGGTGGCCTTCGTCCTTTTCAGCTGGCTTCGTAACGGCGACCACATCCCTTGCATCAAGTTCTGGTTGTCTTGGCGTCCTGCCTCTGCTGCCTCTCGGCGTGTGAAAGGGCTGCTGGCGGCTTCTCCCAGCAAAGTGGCACAGAGGGGGGCGGGGGCGTTCGTGTTCGACGAAAAGTTCTCTGCCCGGGTGGTACGACAGGGAGATCCATCATCGGTGCCGGACGGGAAGATAGAGAGCCGTCATCGGCGGCTGGTGGTGCTGGGCAGTGGGGCGATGGGTGAGGGGCACATGGCGGTCATTTGGCTGAGCGATCGGGAGGGTTATTATTTTCGTGATGTCTCCATCTACTCAACCGAGCCGGCCCCCCACGACAAGACGCGCACTGTCGTGATGAGAGTGTTGGGGGATCAGCTGGGGGGCAAAGTGTGGCGGGAGGAGAGGGAGACGGACGAGGCCAGGGAAGCTACGGCGTGCGCTGTGATGTGATCGGGGGCTCTGCTGTAAGTGTGTCGATTGTCCATCCAGGACAGACAGCTTGGCGGTCAATGAGAGGGGAGACAGACAGACAGACAGACAGACAGCCGGGCAAGGGGTTTTTGCTCTCTGCCCATCTGCTTGCATGGGCCTCTCTGTGCGTTCCCCTGGCTGCATCCTGCGAATGTCTGTCTGTCTGTCTGTCTGTCTGGAGCACTTGAGTGAATGAGCCCCATGTCACTTGATGGGAAAGATGAAGGACAGTGGTTATGCTGGCTGATAGGTCCATATGTCAGTCAGACCTACACACACAGATGGACAAACGCACCCATAGACTCACTCGCGCGCACACACACAGACACGTCTCATGACAGACACACGGCATCCATCGAGTAGGTCCCTCGTCTGTCAGTCAGACCCTCATCAACACAGCAGCCGACGGCGTCGTCCGGTGACGTCCTGTGATCATGTTCATCAGTGTGTGTGTCGAGCCGCCCGGCCGTGCACACCAAACCTGCCACCCACCGAAACAGTTGACGTGTCGCTCATGGATTGTGTGGTTCATTCAGTCGTGCAGTCAGTGAGTCTGACAGAAATGAGTTAAACCCTCGCCCATCCGTCCCGACCACAATGCAAACAGAGCACATAAGCCATGCAGACGCACTCAGTTCCCCTCCACTAATTCTCGCCAGTCAGACAGGCAGACCCTCTCCACCAGTTAAATGCACCACCAACACCTAGTAGCCGACAGCCAGCACCCCTCATTCCATTACTGCTCCCCTGTCGATGACGTCACGCTCGAGACCGAATCGCCGCAGCAGACGGCGGGCAGCACCAACCGACACGGGGTAGCGCTGGGCGAGCGGGTGGGACCGATCGGCAGCAGATGGCTCAGTTGTGTAGAGGTCGATGGAGCCATCCTCCATCACCAGATGTGCAGCGATGGTCTCGTTGGGTCGGAAGCCGCTCACAATCACAAAACGATCGTGCCTCGCATCAGCAGCATTCAGATTGACCCTGTCGTAGCGGTAGTCGGCGACGATGCCTTGGTCCTCTGTGATGCCGTCGGTCCTTAGCAGACGGCCATAGCGCCGGTTGTCACGGCCAATGGTTCTAATGAGCACCTCCTTGTCGTCCACCCCCTCTCCATGTGACCAATAGAGGAGCAGCCTGTGCAGCGGGAATGCCGAGAATGAGGGATACAGTTGGCCGCCCTGTCGGATGACGGGGTCAGCTCGCTTGTAGCCCTCAGCATAGGGATGGCCGCCAGGCAGCTCACCCAACGGCACCACACGAAACGACTGATTGCCGGTCCGATAGCTCTCATAGGCCCCGTCATCGATTTGCTGCAGTGCCAGGCTGGAACCATAGTAGCTGAGCTGCTGGCCGATGATGTTGTAGATGGCCATGGCGAGTGGCAGTTGGTGGAAGGCCGTTGCTGTGAGCAGTGAGGCAGCCGGCAGACGGAGGGGCCGCGTCGCATTGGGGGTCAGCCGGTAGATGAAGGCCAGCCGAAGGAACCGCCCCATCGCCTGCCACTCCTCGCCACTGCCCCGCTCCAGCAGATAGACCACCTTCAAGCCGGCCTCCACATCACCGCCAATGTCGAAGGCCAACACGTCCGCCAGGCGCAGACGACTGATGTGCTCATCCACGCGGCGCCTCACCTCATAGAGCATCGTGTCGACATCATCGGGATGGGTGTTGCTGATGTGTGAGCGGAGAGCGGCGCGTCTGTTGGGGTCAGTGGACATGGCCATTTCAGCCGCCTTGCTGATGGCGATGCTGCGCAGTGGCGGGACTGCCGGCGGGGCGGTGGGGCGATTGGGATTGGGAGGGGGAGGCTGGGCAGAGGACGCCATCAGTCAGTCAACTGATCTGAATCAACGACACACAGAAGGTGACAGTGATCGAGAGGGAGATGAGTGTCCGTCTGTGTGCACCTTAAAACACTTGGCTATGAGGGAATGTCTGTCAGCAGCCCAACACCATATGTGATGGATGCGCTGGTGACTCTGCAGGCACCCACACAGCAGCATGATCCATCAGTGTCAGTCAATGCGACAGCGAGGGAATCAGACGAGCCACCGACCGTCAGCAATGGCTCCAGCGGCCCAAATGAAGCGATGGCGTGGCTATGCGGCCGTCGTCAACGAGCCAAGAAGGCACTGTGAGAGATCTGCAGGCACACAAAACACCGAAGCAGCAGCTGACTGAAGCATTTCAATGAATTCGTTGCCTCTCTGCATGCCATCTTACCCTCTCTTGAGCAGAAGAGGGATGGGATGCCCGTAGCGAAGATCTGCGAGCTTGGCATCGCGTAGCGAGGCGTTTTGGTGACAACAGGGCCGCGTAGAGTGTCGGGCAGATGCCCAAAGAGCCGCTGTGATGACATCGATCACCACAGATTCCGCCGCCATCTCCATGAGTGACGCCGTTGGGACACATTGAGGTGATGGAGGGCAACCAGGGGGAGGGAAGGGCGTCAGCAGTGACAGCCTGTGTGATGTCTGTGTGTTTGTGGGCAGATATGTGACGTACAAGACCGACAAGGGAGCAGATCAGTCAAGGTGCGGCAAGGCATGCAGTGAGTGGTTTCGTCCCATCACACGCCGTTTGTGTGTGTCAGATCTCGGCTGCCGCTCCTGATGGGCGCAGCCACCTCTAGCACGTCGCCGTCATGCCCGGGATTCTTCGCCTTCATGTCGCTAATCACACGTGGGAGGCAGCGAGGGCGAGAGGGCGTGTCCTTCTCGGCCGTCCCAGCTGAAGTGGTGCCGACGATCGCCCAGTGCCTCACCAGCTATGACGACTTGTGTGCCTTCCGCCGCATCGACAAGACCCGCCATGGCGCCCTCACGCCCGCCGCCCTGCTGCCCATCCTTACCCAGCTGCTGCCCGTCGTGGTGGCCTCTCTCGGCCTCGGTGGCCTCCTGGTGTGTATCATCCCCCAGCTGCCCCTCCGTGAGGCACTCAGCCACGGCTGCTGCACCGCATACCTCATCGAACAGCTCAGCCGCCGACTGTTCATCCTCGAGAGGGGCGGCGATTGGGCCAGATGGCGGCCGCACCTGGAGATGCTGTACTTGCTGAGGGGCAAGAGGCCTTTGGTGCTGAGTGACGACAACTTCGGCGTGTTCGGCAGCCGGGCGGCCTTCATGAGTGAGAGGGAGGCCGTCCGGCAGTGGAAGATACTCAGCCGGTGGATCACTTTCGCTGATGGAGAACAACAGAGACAGCTGATGGACGGCAACGCCATCCTTCGCCCTCACAATTGCCGTTTCACCCCTACCCTCCTCAACTCTCCCAGCCCCCTTTTCCCTCATGTAGCATTCGATCCCGCCGACCCGCCCACAGAGATGGACGGCTGGACGAGCCCCAGCTGCACTCAAACGGTGGCATTCGAGCTTTTCAACTGGCTCGTTCGCAGCGGCCACATCCGTCGCATCAAATCCTGGTTGTCTTGGCGTCCTGCCTCTGCTGCATTCCGGGGTGTGTCTGAGCTGCTGGCGGCCTCTCCCGGCGATGCGGCACAGTGGGGGGCGGGGGCGACCGTGTTCGACGTGAAGCGGCCGGACGGGAAGGGGCATGATCGTTTGGTGGTGTTGGGCAGTGAGGCGATGGGCGAGGGGCACATGGCGGTCATTTGGCTGATCGATTGGGGGGATTGTTGCCGCTCTGTTTATATTCTTACGACAGAGTCGGCCCCCCACGACAAGACGCGCACTGTCGTGATGAGAGCGTTGGGGGATCAGTTAGGGGGCAAGGTGTGGCGGGAGGAGAGGGATGGGCAGTGAGCTGATGGGCGACGGGCAGATGGCACTCATCACGCTAGTGGGTTGCGGTCTTTTCATCCAGTCGACCGACTCTGCGCACACAAAATACGGTGATGAGAGTGCTGGTGGCATACCTGGGGGGCATAGCGTGGCGGAAGGAGTGAAAATGCTGAATGGATGATAGCAAGACAGTGCCAGTCAGTGTACAGGCTATAGATCGTCGTTTTCAAGCAGCAGACCGACACAGACAGACATCCAGACAGGCAACGGGTTGTTGCCCTTCCTTTTATCCATCCATCCATCCTTGTGCAGTCTGTGTGAATGGCTTCCCTCTCTCTCTCTCTCTCTCTCTGTGTGTGTGTGTGTGTGTCCGAATGAACGAACGAAGATTGCTCGCATGCTTAGGCTGAATGGAAAAGTGCACCCCTGTCAAAATGGATGGGTCAAACACATTCACACTGCCGTGGGCATTGTCGCACGACACAGCCCATCCGTCCGTTCACACGGCACAGCACTCACTCAGGGATCACCACAGAACACCATGGCACTCTCCAGCTGTCCATCCATATCTACACACACTACCCTCCCATCCTTTCTCTCCCCTCTCCCAATAGGTCAATCCATCGCTTTCCTCGGACCGAAGCCCGCCACCTCCAGCGCATCATGAATGTCGTCACCATGACCGCCATCCGTCCTCACCGCACTGCCGTCGCTCAGGCGGCGCTTCTTGCCAACGCCACCATCACCGTCAGCATCACCATCGGCCATACGTGCGTCTGCCGGGCCAGCGTGGCCCTCCTGCTGCTCCTCCTGTTTGCGCATCCTCTTGCGCTTCCTGCGGTCCTTGCGCATCAGCTCCTGCTCCATGTTCTGCTCGTGCCATACGTAGGCAATGTCGTCAGATGATATCCTGAGGCAATCGATGTATGTTCAGGGAATGGAGAGCACAGGGGTGTGTGTCTGTGTCTGTGTCTGTGGCGAGATGGGCGTTGGGTGGTGTGACTGACTGACCTTTTGCGCAGCTCGGCGATGAAGGTGCCTCCGGGTGTCCTCTTTCGCTTGCCGTCCGCCGTCTGCGTGCCCCCGGCCGCCTCGATGCGCTGAGCCATCACCACAACCAAGCAAGCGAAAGAGAGCATACGACACGTACCCTAATGTGTGTGGCACCTGCACACCCCTCCCACCTACTACCTGCGTCTCTTGAAGCACCTCGAGGCACAGCTGGACGCCCAGGCGGCTCACCATCCGCTCAAACAGGGGGATGTTGGCCTCCCTCAGCTCGTGCACCAGTTGTACGAGGGTCTCGATGTCGGTCTTGTCGCTCAGCAGCCGGAGCGACGACGTCACGCGGGACTCAACCACCTCGTATGACAAATCTTGAGGCTGTCGGTCTCGAGCGTCATGGTCTCTTCGGCTGGATGGATGCCGCCTTGGTGGCGGTGCGGGTCTGTTGCCGCCTCCCCTGCGCGTCTTGTCCTGCCGCTGGCCCCGGCTCGGCGGGTGGCGGCTCTGCATGGCGGCAGCGCCATCATTGGCCGCCTGCGGGGTGCCGTCCTGCCGATTTGCTGTGCTGTGACGCTGATCTGGCTGCAGCCCGCTTCTTTGCTCCTTCCCTTCGCTTGGAGGGTCGGCAATGTCCTTATAGGACACCGGCTCCTGCATCATGATCTAGCAGTCTGGTCTGGTCTGCGAGCTTGGCGCGCAAAAGTTCGCAAAAAGTCCGCTGCTGGGGAAGGGATTCTGGTGAAGAAAGCCTCGCATTCACTCGCCTCAATTGACAGTAAGCATCAAGGAAACGAGATCTCTCACAGTCCCGAACGAGTGTCTGTGTGTTGCTTTCAGACTCGGCTGTCTGATGATGCAGTCATCAGCTGTATTGCCGGCATTCCTGTTGGGATCTATTCTGCTCTGCTGTGTCGAGAGGTCAGCCGCATTCTCTCATCTGCAGCTCCCGTCTTTGCCGCGGTCGCATCGGCGGCCATCCGTCAGTGTGGACTCATCTCCCTCTCTCTCTCTATCCCCGCCTGTCGGCTCGTCAAGCGTCCTCTTGCACAGGAGGCGGCCGACGGCACGGCGAACATCGCTGCTGGCCTCCACCGATTCTGCTGCTGATGCTGCGACTGGCACCCTTGACAAGAGTCCTTTCTTCATCACGACCCCGATCTACTATGTCAACGACGCGCCCCACATCGGCCACGCCTACACGACCGTGGCCTGCGACGTCATCGCTCGGTTCATGCGGCTGGACGGGCGGGAGGTGTGCTTCCTGACAGGCACTGACGAGCACGGGCAGAAGGTGCAGGAGGCCGCCGACAGGGCGGGGAGGACGGCCATCGAGTTCTGCGACGACGTGTCCGAGACCTTCCGGCAGCTGACCTACGACCGGCTCAACTGCACGGTGGACCGGTTCATTCGGACGACAGAGGAGGGCCACAGGAAGGCGGTGCAGCACTTATGGCGTGTGCTAGAGGAGAGGGGCCACATCTATCTGGGTGCCTATGAGGGCTGGTACTCTGTCCGGGACGAGGCCTACTTCTCTGACAGCGAGCTGGTCGACGGCAAGGCGCCCACAGGGGCGGAGGTGATCAAGGTGGTCAAGGAGCCCAGCTACTTCTTCCGGCTGTCCGAGTGGCAAGACGCGCTGCTGAGGTTCTATGAGGAGAATCCCGATTTCCTTGGCCCGTGGTCGCGCAAGAACGAGGTCATTTCGTTTGTCAAAGAGGGGCTGAGGGATCTCTCCATCTCACGCACATCCTTCCAGGTATGCCATTCAAGCAGCACTGTGTCCATTGCCTACGAATCTCTCTCTCTCTGTCTCTCTCTCTCTGTGTGTGTGTGTGTGTGTGTGTGTTGTGTGCAGTGGGGCGTGCGTGTGCCCGAGAGCGATGAACACGTTGTGTACGTGTGGCTCGACGCCCTGACTAACTACCTCACGGCCGTGGGCTACCCCGACACAGAGAGCGAGCCCTTTCGCAAGTACTGGCCCGCTTCGCTGCACGTGGTGGGCAAGGACATCCTCCGCTTCCACGCCATCATGTGGCCGGCCTTTCTGTTGGCTGCCGGCATTGAGCCGCCCAAGAGGGTCTTTGCCCACGGCTGGTGGACGAGGGACGGGCAGAAGATCTCAAAGAGCGTCGGCAATGTCATCGATCCCATTCAGCTGGTCAGTGAGAAAGAGACAGAGGGAGGGAGGGGGGCGAAGGGAGCAACACAACGCACATGCATCTGTGTGTGTCTGTGTGTGTCTGTGTGTGTGTGTGCACAGGTTGAGCGATATGGTTTGGACGCCGTGCGGTACTTCATGATATCCGAGGTGGCCTTCGGTCAGGACGGCGACTACTCCGACACGTCCATGGCCAACGCCGCCAACACGCTCGCCAACGACCTCGGCAACCTGCTGCAGCGCACTCTCACGCTGGTCTACAAGAACTGCGACAAACAGATCCCCCAGCCGCAGACCGACTTTACCGAGGACGATCAGGCGCTGCTGTCGGCTGCCGATGGGCTGCTGGAAGAGTGCCGGCGGTCCGTCGCGCTCACCCAGGGCCTGCACCACTACGCCGAGGCGCTCATCAAGGTGGCCCGTCAGGCCAACAAGTACATCGAAAGCCAGGCGCCCTGGCAGCTCAAAAAGACCGACGCCGCCCGCATGACGACCGTCCTGTTTGTGCTGTGTGAGACGCTGCGGCGAGTGGCTGTCTTGTTCCAGCCGATCATCCCTCTGGCGGCCTCCCAGATGCTCGACCAGCTGGGCGTCCCCACGGACGAGAGGGCCTTCGACAGTGTGGAGGAGGGCAGGCGTAAGAGCGGCGTGGCGATTGACAAACCGTCGCCCGTCTTCCGAAAGATGGAGATTGAGACAGGGGACGATGCGGCAAAGGCCGATAAGGGCGGGAGGGAACAGACAAAGGCACAGAAGGAGACTCTGCCTGCCGTTGCGCTATGAGTTAACGTATGTCACACACAGAAGGAGACTGTGGCTGTGAGTTGAGACTTGAGAATGGCTTGAGAATGTGAGTGGAGCGTGGATCAGTTGATGACTAGAGCGAGATGTGTCGTCATTTTGTTGCGATGCACTGCTCGTCGATCAATAAAGCAACGCGAGGTTCACTTACCTCGTAAATTCCATGACTCAGGCCCCCACAGGCCCCCTGGGCGCACCTGCACACCGAATATGCTGTGCTACATCGCCTCCTTCGCCTTTCTCGGACTCGCGACGTAAGCCACGACGCTCACGACACACAGATGGACACACAGATGGCTGTATGTCATGTGTGATGATCCCCTGCTGATGGCGGCCGGGGGCAGCGTGGCACTGGGCGTGCAGTCCAAGGTGGGACCGATCCCTGTACACGACCGTTTCCAGAACCTCTACAAGACGCTTACAGGATCAACATTCACGTCTTCAGTGGTGCGCACACAGCACAACAGACTCCGAATGGCCGCACATGTACACACCATGTGTCTTGCCCTCTCTTTCGCGTTTTAGTTCGGATGCGACTTCGATAACCTAGGCATGCTCACTACGGGCAATGAGTGCCAAGACGCTAGGACAGGTTGTTGTCCCACTTTCACTCAACTCAAGGCTGCGCTGAACGGTAGAAACATGCTTAGAATACGGCAAAAGTCCGGCTGGCTTGGCTTGTAGTCTTCCTTTGCTTGCCATATGTACAGATAAACCGTGTGATTATAGCGACCTTCTCCAGAACGCAACCAAAGTGGCCATGCTAGCCAACAATGCCGATCTGCAGACGGCCTGTACCAACGGCTGCCTCAAAAAAGCCAAGACGGCACTCGAGAGTGGACTCAATACGGCGGGTGTCAAGGGCAGGGGATGTGTGGCTGCACAGACGGCGCTGCGCACTATCGAAAACATCTGCGCCATGGAGGTGACGGAAGCAAAAAATGGAAAATAGAAGGAGGTTTATAGTGTTCTCTTTTGCAGAATATCGATACATACTGTTTTGAGTACTTCAACAACCACCTAGAGATCTACGAGGCGGCCATCCAGGACCACAGTACCTCACTCGTACACAAAAAGCCCCCCCTCCATACACACCGAGACACAGAGGAGACACAGAGCAGAGCAGCATTTTCTCTTCTTTTTTCCCTTTCATTCGTCAGGTAAGTTCTCTGATGATGGTATGCCTTGGGACGTGTGCGCGGAGCGATGCTTCCTAACCAACACCGCCGTAGTCCTCACTTCTCTAGGCGACACAACGGCCGGAAAGGTCGCTCGCAAGCAAGCCGATGACTACTTCAAGATGGTCTGCTCTAAGGTCATTTCCTCGAGTCACACACACAGACCAGCACAAAGCGGTGCACACAGAATGACGCACGTCTGCATACATATAAGCGCACATTCGCTTGCTTGCTTGCTTGATAGCAGTTAACGAACCCGCTCCCCGACCAAGCTGATCAATGCACTCAAGAGACTACCGCGCCAGCCGCCACTGTGCCAGCCCCGAGGCTGCGGGAGCTTGAGGAGACCGCTGCCTGGTACCAAATCGGCGCCGACATCGATGGCGAAGCGGCCGGTGACCGATCGGGGATAGCAGTGGCTATCTCAAGTGATGGCTCTCGTTTGGCCATCGGTGCTGACTATAATGATGGCGGTGGTTCTGACAGCAGTCATGTTCGCGTGTTTGACCTCACTGGATCCACCTGGACTCAAGTCGGCGCCGACATTGATGGCAAAGCGGCCGGTGATCAATCGGGGTATTCAGTGGCCATGTCCAGTGATGGCTCTCGTTTGGCCATCGGTGCTTACTGGAATGATGCTGGTGGTTATGCAAGCGGTCATGTTCGCGTGTTTGACCTCGTTGAATCCACCTGGACTCAAGTCGGCGCCGACATCGATGGCCTAGCGGCCTATGACCAATCGGGGTATTCAGTGGCCATGTCCAGTGATGGCTCTCGTTTGGCCATCGGTGCTTGGGGGAATGATGACGGTGGTTCTGACAGCGGTCATGTTCGCGTGTTTGACCTCGTTGAATCCACCTGGACTCAAGTCGGCGCCGACATCGATGGCGAAGCGGCGGATGACTGGTCGGGGGCAGCAGTGGCGATGTCCAGTGATGGCTCTCGTTTGGCCATCGGTGCCCCCTACCATTTTGGTAGTAGTCTTGACAGCGGTCATGTTCGCGTGTTTGACCTCGTTGAATCCACCTGGACTCAAGTCGGCGCCGACATCGATGGCGAAGCGGTCTTCGACAATTCGGGGTATTCAGTGGCCATGTCCAGTGATGGCTCTCGTTTGGCCATCGGTACTCAGGGGAATAATGGCGGAGGTTCTGGCCGCGGTCATGTTCGCGTGTTTGACCTCGTTGAGTCCACCTGGACTCAAGTCGGCGTCGACATCGATGGCGAAGCGGATGATGACCGGTCGGGGCAGTCAGTGGCCATGTCCAGTGATGGCTCTCGTTTGGCCATCGGTGCTTGGGGGAATGATGGCGGTGGTTCTCTTAGCGGTCATGTTCGCGTGTTTGACCTCGTTGAATCCACCTGGACTCAAGTCGGCGCCGACATCGATGGCGAAGCGGCCAATGACCAATCGAGGCGGTCGGTGGCCATGTCCAGTGATGGCTCTTCCTTCGCCATCGGTGCTCCGAGGAATGGTGGCGGCGGTTCTGACAGCGGCCATGTTCGCGTGTTCACGACCACTCCACAGCTGACACTGACGACTGCTGCACCAAGCACAGCATCACTGACGAGTGCTGCAGCAAGCACAATATCACTGACGAGTGCTGAACCAAGCACAGAATCACTGACGAGTGCTGAACCAAGCACAGAATTACCAACCACTACTCCAGCAACCACATCAGCTCCAACAATTTCATCCGAGACGCCAACGCCAACGTCATCTATGCTGATATCCGATCTGCTAGCCGATGGGCACATCATGGTCGACAGCGTCACCCCTGATGATCAGGAGGATGCGGCAGCTGTGTGTCATATATCATTCACCACGAGGGTGTCTTGTATTGCCGCCAACTATCCCAAGCGCATCACTTTGGCAGAGGACAGCCCTGTTACGGATGTCGAGGGCACCAGCTATGACGATATTATTACGGGCAACGCTAGAGACAATACGCTGGAAGGTGGAAATGGTAATGACACCATCGTCAGCGGTGGCGGAGATGACAGTAAGCGACCGAATAGAGAGAGAGAAAAGAGCTTTTCTTAGTCTATTGCCTTCATTCGTGTGTATTGCGTGTGTGTGTGTTTTTGAGTTAGTTCTGCTCGGAATGCAAGGAGCGGACATGTTGTAGGCAACACAAGATACTGAAGAGTTGCATGTTCATCCATTGTGAGCTCATGTCTGATACAGTGTGATTTCCAACAAGGCGGCCACGTATCCATCCCCGTGTTTGACACACTTGACGATGGCAATCAACACGATGTGCTGGACCTGACTAACTTTCTACACATTACCACCATGGCCGACCTCATGACTCGAGTGTCGGAGGGAAGTGTTCGTATCGTCGTCAACCAAAACGTCTTGGTGACGATACAGAACCTCATGCCTGAGGGCATGCGTGAGGAATATATCGCTTTGCCCGCGCTGCAAAACACTTCGACAGGCGAGAACATACATATTGGCTGATCTGCATCTTTTAATTTTTCCTATACATGCAGAGTCACCTGGGTCTTCGACTTCAACCGCGACTGCCTTGACCAAGAAGGCCTTGGTGGCGTCTTTGGTATTATCGCTGTATGCCTTGTATATGGCGGTATTGTATGGGTCGTAATGCGGAGGAGAGTGAGGAGAAGAAAGCCAAGAAGTTCGACCTGGAGATCGAGGAGGGCGCTGACAATCATCGTCAGAGAAGGAGGGGAGCGCAAAGTACTCACAACAAAAACTTCTTCTTGAACCCTTCTTCACTAGTGCTTTTCGGGTGTTCGTTTATCTGGATCCGTATGCCTCTAGCTGATTGACATGTGTCCGACTGTCTTTCGATCCCTCCCTGCCAACTTCCTGGTGTCTGTCCGTCCGTCCGTTTGTCCGTATGTCAGGCTTGCTTGTCAGGAAAGCAGGATTTCGGTCGGTTTGCCTTCTCTCTTGAACGACTGACCCACTAATTAATTAATTAATTAATTAATCAATCAATCGTTCATCATTGCAAAGAGGTCCGAGATGAATTAATTGAGATTCATTCACGCCTGTACAAGTGCAATTGACCGGCAAATCTGGGGATGGGATAGCAAGAGAGAGAGCAAGATAGAGAAGAACGAGCAACAATTGAGTAAAGGACAGAAATCAAGCCGCCAACACTCGAAGGATCTGCAGTGTCTTCTGTTCGATGAAGGCGTGAGAGAGACAGACAGAGACACAGAGAGAGACAGAGAGACAGGCGCACGGGGCAGGCAGAGACATGCACAGGCTTGTCTGCGGGATCCGGTCCTATTGCGCATAGCTGCAGGGACGGCAGATGGTACATTACGCGTTGCGGCTGGCTCGTCTCTTTGTCAGCGCTTACTTGCGACTGGCTCACACACTTGAGCAGGACAGGATGTGTGTTTCCACGAATCTGACCGATAGACAATCAATTATCGTGGGGGGCGGGGAGTGTGGGTGATGCGAGAAGTATCCTGGTGGTGGCAGGAGGGCTGAGACTGTGGCTGTGAGTTGAGAGTGTGCGAGAATGTGACTTGTGAGGTGAGACTTGAGACTGTGTCTGTGTCTGTGTGTTGGGGCGTGTGTGGGTCAATTGATGACTTGAGCGAGATGTGTCGTCATTTCGTTGCGATGCACTGCTATACAATAGAATACACAGACCTCATCCATGTCATGTGCCCTAGAAGTCAGGCGTCATCTCATCTCACACGAAGAGCCCAACCAACAGCTGTCTGTACACAAGCAGCAGTCTCGCCGCTAGACCAATGTCGACCATTCTTCCTTCCTGATGCTGGCGTAGATCCTGTCTGGCACGATCCGGAAGAACAGAGACCCGTGCCAACCAGGACAGACGACAACCGAAGGCAGACAGTCGACATGGCTGTGACTGACTCAGGTAAGGTACTTCTTGCCGGCCTGTTTGACTCGTTTGTCGAACCCCGAGGAGTAGATGGGCCGATTGACCTCATAGAAGGGATTCAGCAACGTCTGCGCACACACGGATACACCACACACACACACACACACACACACACAGAGAGAGAGAGATATCAGCACGGGGGCAGGGTGCATGTGCATGTGTGTGCTGCCTCCCTCTCTGCCTCTCTTCTCTGCCTGGCTGGCTGGCTGGCTGTCTGACCCTGATGTATAGGTCGTGGACCTCCTGGAAGAAGTTCTTGATGTTGTCCTCGTTGCGGTGCTTGTGCAGCAGCATCAACTTGATGTGCCCCGCCGTTACATAGCCCGACACGAAGAACTCATTGAACTTGTCCACCAGCTTCAGATACCTTCACACACCCGAACAACACACAAACACACGATTCATCTGCTGTCTGTCAGCAGACCGCCATATGCTCACATCTGTTGAGTGTGGAAGACCTGCGCGTCCACCATGTCGAGAGCCGCGTGGAGGATGAACTGGTCAAGGTGCGGGCTGTCGTCCCGCTTGCCCGCCGAGCTCAGGTCCGCCTCGTACAGCAGCTGGTCGCCCTTGCCCACAATCACAAACACATACACCGTCGCCATCGACAATCAATCTGAGCGGCTGCGGCTCCAAATCTTCACTCAGAGATGGAATATTGGCTCAGATCATGGGCAGCAAAGGGCCTCTGGCATGTTGACCGCTGCGCATCGACGCCCAGACACTTTCTCTGAGGTCTCACAATCACTGCGAGCTCAAATTGTGCGGCGAGTTAAGCTCGCTCAGAGGGGAGGGAGAGAGGGAAGCAGGAGCGGAAGGCGTCCTTCAGCCATAGTCCTCCTCTTGCACTCGCTTATCAGATCAGCCAAAGATCCACAAGCAACCGCTGCTCCATCGGAATTGTCTTCTGTTGGTCCCTTGCTGTTGTTGCGCCTTCCATTCCTTAAAGATCTCTCTCTGCAAGTGACTGAGTTCTGCTGCCCCGCTGCCTGTTATGGTCCGTGAGCGCGAAATGGATGCGTCGACGTCGTGCACCGAAGATGTGGCAGGGCCGCCAGCCAAGAAGCAGCGCATGGACATGGACTCGCCATCCTCACCTGCACGCCCTTGGGACCCGCTCACGTGGAAGGTGAGATGACAACAACACACAACACATCATCTGCCATAGCTCATGGTTTGGTTAAATGTCTTGTGCAGGCGCTGCCCAGCTGCCAGAACCCGTTTGCATCGGTCATGCCGGCTGCTGTGGCGAGTGTCGAGCGTCAACTGTCGGCGCTGCCCCCCCTGGTGTACCCCACTGAGGTGCAGAAGCTGAGAGGGCTGCTCGAGGAGGTCCACGGGGGGCAGCGGTTCTTGCTGCAGGGAGGTACGTGAAGAGAAGAATGGGCGGGTGGATGGATGGATGGCATTGATTGTGTTGTTGTGTGCAGGTGACTGTGCTGAGCGTTTCCTGGACTGCTCTGCGAGTGTGATTGCGGTCAAGCTCAAGATCCTCCTGCAGATGAGCCTCGTCCTCTCGTATGCAGGTGCGTGAGGGTCACTATACCATCATATGTGTGTGTGTGTGGTCATGGTGTGTCTGTTCAATGATCCATTCAGGCCGCAAGCCCACAGTGAGGATTGCGCGCATTGCAGGACAGTACGGCAAGCCACGGTGAGCACATGAAGGAGGTGCAATCGCACACGCTTTTATGTGTGGGCGGATCAATGGTCAGGTCGTCAGCCATGGAGACCGTCAATGGCCAGCAGGTGCCCTCATTCAGGGGCGACAACGTCAATGACATGGACCCAAACAACCGCACACCTGACCCGGAGAGGCTCGTCAAAGGTCCGTTAGTCAGTCAACACACACACACACCCAGACACAGACAGGCACATCAGCCATGTGCCCGTTTGTGTCCTTCAGCGTATTTCCATTCGGCGGCAACGCTCAACTACCTGCGGGCCCTGCTGACTGGCGGCTTCGCGGACCTCCACGAGTCCAAACACTGGGAACTGGAATACGTCAACAGCAAGGAGCGCAGGCAAGCAATGGCGAGAAGAGACAGTAATGTGAAGCAGGTGGGGACGCTCTCTCTCTCTCTGTGTGTGCAGGCTCGAGTACGAGGCGTTGGTTGAGAATTTGCTGGACGGGCTGTCCTTCCTCGACGTGTGTGGGGCCACTGGCGAAGCGGTGAGCGGGGCGGCCTGGTGGCTGGACGGCATGAGGGCATGGCCATGGGGGATGTGTGGTGGTTTCGATCAGTCCAAGACGGTCGATCTGTTCACCAGCCACGAGGCCCTCGTACTGCCCTACGAGGCGGCCATGACGCGACGCTTCAACGGACAGGTCAGCCAGCCGCTTTGCCAACACACACGCAGCACATCCATCCATCCATCCATATTTCTCTCTCTCTGTCTGTGTGTCTGTGTGTCTGTGTGTGCAGTGGTTCAACACAAGCGCCCACTTGGTGTGGATCGGCGACCGCACGAGACAGCTCGACCACGCACACGTCGAATACTGCCGAGGCATCGAGAATCCCGTGGGCATCAAGGTGGGCCCCTCAGCCCCGCCCAGCGAGATTGTCGACCTGTGCAAGAGGCTCGACCCGCAGAACCAGCCGGGCAAGCTGGTGCTCATCACGCGGCTGGGGGCCAAGAACGTCCAAACACACCTGCCGCCGCTCATCAAGGCTGCCAAAGAGGTCTGTGGGCGTGTCTGTGGGCGGTGGGTGGGCACAGACATGCACATGATCTCTCTCTCTGCGTATGTGTGTGTGTGGTGTGCAGGCTGGTCTGAATGTCATCTTCCAGTGCGACCCTATGCACGGTATGCATCACGCCGGCCCCCGTGTATGTATTTATGTGTGTATATGTGTGGCTGTGTGTGTGTGTAGGCAACACTGAGAAGGCCAGCAGCGGCCACAAAACGCGCCGCTTCGACACGGTGCTCGAGGAGCTCCTCGAGACATTCAAGACACACAAGGTGACTGCACACGGATGGATGGACACAGACAGACAGACAGGCAGACAGACAGACAGACGTGCACACCTGTGCGTGTTGTGTGTGCAGGCGCACGGCTCGCATCTCGGCGGTGTGCATTTCGAGATGACCGGTCAGTCAGTCAGTCAGTCGGCCTTGAGCGACCATGCCGCGACAGAGAGGCACATGGATACGTGTCTTTCTGGTTGCAGGTGAGGACGTCACCGAGTGCACCGGTGGGCCCCAGGAGATCGACGACACCGACCTCCACATACGGTTGGCACATGAGCCCACACACACGTTCACACACACATACACACACTCTTCGCGTGGTGGTGTCTCTGTGTGTCCCTCCCTCCCTCCCTGACAGGTACACGACCTACTGCGACCCCCGCCTCAACTACGCCCAAAGCCTCGAGATGGCCTTCAAACTCGCAGCATGCCTCAAGTAACCAACACACTGACCCACACACACGCACAAGCCAGACAGCTCCACATGGATGTGTGTGTGTGCAGGAGTGACCGGCGGGCGCCCTTCACGAGCAGCGGCAGTGCCCACGACATCGAGGCGCCCCCCACCACACACGAGTGAAGCTGAATTAATCTGATGCGTGTGTGGGCTGTGTACAGGTGTGTGCATGACTGCCTTTTTGAACGGACCAATGGGCTTTACTGAGAATGAATGAGAGCTGCCTATGCGCAACAGCCAGCCAGCCTGTCTGTCAGTTGGTTTGGTCAACGGCCTTCTCTGTGTGTTCATTCAAGTTAGATTTTTGAATCCTGTGTGCAGCCAGAGCTGGCCGCAGTTAATTAAAATTCGTCCTGCCGGAGGCTTGGATGGAGTGAACGCGCTTGTTTGTGCGTGCCGCGATTGACTAAGGTGACAATCAAGATGTCCGATGGTCCGCAAAACAGAGATCGAATAGACAGACAGAGACCGAATAGACAGACAGATCGACAGACGAAGAGACAGGCAGGGAGGTCATCGGGAGGGAGGGAGGGAGGGCAACACGATATGTGTCGTGCCATCAACGCCCACTTCAATCGGCGCAATGAACAATTGTCAATGCGCCGATTGAACGATCGCCATGATACCCACACACACGCACCCGAATGTCTCGCAACACACGTGAACCCATACATCTCCATCCATCCATTCACCCACAACGCACACACACACACACAGGGAGAGAGAGAGAGAGAAAAGGCAGCAAAGAAAGGAGAAGAAAAAAAGACGATACAATACAATGATTGCATCCGTGTGTCCGCATGAAAGGAATATGCATGTGTGCAGACCAATGCACGGCGTCAAGTGAATGAATTAACAGCTGACACACATTTTCATCGTGTCTGTTCCCGTAGAGTTCGAGAGTCGAGACAAAGATGCATTGTGTGTGCACGCATATGCGTTTCTTGTGTATACACAGAACCGCTCAATTTGATGTGTGAGGAGGAGGCCATGGAGGTGTGAAGAGGCCATGGGTAATGAACCGAAAGACAAGACGGCAGACAGCAACAGGGGGCTTGACTTGCATTCTGCGTATGTGTTGGCTGCTTGACTGCGTGTGCTTGTTGTAATTGTTCGTGCCGGTTGACTAACGAGACAATCGAGATGTATCGCATTTATCATTCCCATGGTCTGCAACGTGGATGTACAGCAATCCATCAACACACGCCAACACACAGACATATCGACACACACGAATGCACAGGCAGGCAGGCAGGCAGGCAGGTAGGCAGGGAGGGAGGGAGGGAGGATACGATATGTGTCGTGCCACACCCAGTTCAATCCGCACAATGAATGATCGTCAACAAGCCGATTCTACGATGAATCACGTGCATCTCCATCAAGTTATCCACAACGCACACACACAAACAGAGAGAGAGAAGACAGCAAGGAAGAACACGATACGATACGATACGATACGATGACATGATTTTATGTCTGCAAATGAAAAGCGTCTGTAAGCAACCAAGCGTAGCTCGACGAATGAACGAAGGGTAGCTAGAACGATGTCAACAGTTGACACATCACGATGCACTCAAAATAAATACATCAAACATCACGCATATCCGTGAGCCCACACGTCCATATGCCCCTGTTCGATTGCTCGCTCCTTCGATGCCCTCTCCCGCCCACATATACACGAGACTACACGGCACGACACGCAACCCAATAGACGCTGACCCACTGCACAGCTGGCAGCCTTTCGCGAGGCGATCAGATTGCCGCACGAGGCAACACGGAAAATACCAACACATACAAACAACCACAACGATTGCAACACAGAACAAGTACCCACTGCAAGAGCTCACGCCCTGTCCTCATACGTATGCACACACATGCACCCGTTTACACAGCAGCACACCAGGGAAAGAAGGTCTGTGTGTGTCAGACAGATCTCAGTCAAACTCCAATTGGAAGGCCAGGTAGGGCTGATGGTGGTTGGGGAGGGGAGTGCAGACCCCGGCGGCGCAGCCCTCGCGATTGTAGGTGGCAACGTCGAACTTGAGCTTCAACTTCATATCGTCCAATCCCGGCATCGATAGCCTCTCAACCTTGCCCTGACACACAGAACAAACAGCCGTTTGTAATACCGGATGGATCCTGTTTGGCGTCGGTGTGCGGTGTGTGTATACCCACCCGATTCTTGACGAGGTCTTTCAGTATGCACTCGAGGCAAAACTCGTCCATGAAGTCGTCAAACCAGCCCTCCATTCCCTCATAGATGGTCTCGAGCTGCTCCGTGACCATGTCGATCATGTACTGCAGAGTGAAGGTGCCGGCGCCCCCCAGGATGTCCTTCACGATCGCCGTGATCCCTTCGGCGTACTCTTTCTCATCAATCACCTCACCTACACAGACACAGACAGAGAGGGAGAGGGAGAGATACACAAATGCACCAAGGGCGTCCTAATGTGCTGGCTCACCCCAAAACACTTGACCACACTCATAAGGTCCACCAAAGGGGTCTGGCTCACACCGCGGTCCGTATTCCTCATTTATCTCGCGCTTCTTTTCGTTGCGATTGCTGGAAACGATGTCGTCAAGGCCGGTAGCCTCAGCAATTCCGTCGCGAACCCTCGAGGCGGCCTGACCGGCTGCCTCCTGCAAGTCACCCACTCCAGCGGGATCTTCTGCAAGCTCTTTGGCTCCTTGAACGGCCCCCGCGACGTCACCACGCCGCGCAGCGTCGACGGTGTTCTCAACCCTCTCTCGTTGGTTGTCCACATACTGCTGGCCAGCGTCAGCAACTTGCTGGCCTGCGTTGGAGAGGCCATCTGCAGCCTTTTTGAATGGGTTCAGCTTGCGGTGCTCGCCGTCGCCCGCACCACCACCTCGTAGGCCAGACGGGGCCTGATGTGACACGACATACACGCACAATGTCATGCGGCACACAACGATGTGACAGAGATGCGTCCAGCCGCCAATGCTTACCGAGGACGCAGGCCAGATGGCGATGGCGAGTGCAACCGTCAGCAGGGCCAGCTTCATTGTGACGGCTGAACAAGTGCTTGTCGAGGCTGAGGTAATGAAGAGCGCAAGGGGAGCAATGAAGAGCGGGATAGATGAAGAGGACGTAGCCGACGTCGATGACAGATGAGGGCAGACAGATGAGGGCGGCGGATGGAGACAACTCGAGGCGAAGACTCCTCTCGATAGGAGAGAGCCTCGAGAATACATCCATCTCTTTTACATCTTTCTCTCCCCTCTCTCCCCGATTCTCTTCAGCTTTACGAATGAACGCTTTAAGCACGGTGTTGTTGAAGCGGAGGGCTTTCCAGGCCTTCCCAGGGTGTTGCTCCTTACGGATCGATCTCTGTTTTGCTCGGGGAGCCTTGCATCGGGCCGATCTGAGCTGGTACGGACAGCACATGCAATCTGACACAGATGGCGATGGATGCGAGAGCTCTCGATTCATTTGCCGCTCTGTGTGTTCTTCCCGTTCTTCTCTTCTTCAGGCGCCTTTGAGCGGCTTCTTCATCATAGGGGAGGGAAGGGAATCTTGGGTATGCTTCGCTCCCGTGGGTGCAGATCTCTTCACACCCTGCTACAGCTCATGACAGCGATGCTACCGCTTCATTCAGCCACTGTAGCCGTCAGTGGTGGTTGCCATGTGCTGACTGAGTGAGTCGTCACGATGTCTGATTCAGTGCCTGACGAGCTGTGGCTCGGGCGCATTCTGCCGTCCCTTCTCGTCCATGAGGCGGTCTGTGTCCGAGCGACCTGCCGGGCCAAGGCGGCTCTCGTGACCGCCACTCTGCTGGTGGAGCGCATCGACGGCTCCCTCGCCCGCCACTCCCTCACCGGCCTCATCGACATCGACCGCACCGCCCCTCTCCCATTCAGCTATGTGCTGCGGGCGGCCTATGTGCTGGAGCAGGGCAGCAACGAGTGGCCTTGCGATGGGGCGGTTCATCCGGCTGGCCGCCATCCATCGGCTGACGCCTGCCAATGGGCTGCCCCTGGTGCTGTCGGCTCAGTGGCTGACAGCCCACCTTCCCAGCAGGACGGCATTCCACCAGCTGCCCTTGGCCATGGCCATCTTTCGGCTGTTCGGCCATATGCTCACACACAACACACACAGCCTGGCGCTGCAGCAAGCCGATAATGGGGCCTATCGGATCGGCTATCAGTCGTTCCGTGTGGCGCCGTTGGGTGAGCTGCCGGGCGGCCATCGCTATGCTGTGGGCTACAACCGGACCGATCCCGTCATCCCACGGGGAAACGAGCTCTGTCCCTCCTTCTCGGCATTCCTGCTACGCCTGCTGCTCGTCTTGTGGTCGGATGGAGAGGGGGTGGGCGAGAGGCGGGCGCTGTGGGCCAACATCGGCCGTGGCGACGCTCGCTATGGCCGTCTGCTGCTGACCGACAGCATCACAGAGGACCAGGGCATTACTGCCGACTGGCGCAATGACTGGGGCAACCTGGGTGGTCATGCGAGGGACCATCGTCGTGTGATAGTGAGCGATTTCCGGCCGGGTGAGACCGTGGCTGCCCAGCTGTGGGTGGCGTGAGACGACATCCACCTATGGACGACCGAGCGGCCTGCTGCCCATCGGTCTCAGCCGCTCGCCGGCCGATTCCCCACTTCAAAGCCCCTGTGGTGTGGTTTGCTGCGGCGATTCGAGCTGGAGAGTGATGTCATCGACAGGGGGAGGGTAATGGGGTGAGGAGTGTTGGCTCGTGGTTAGGGTGGGGATGGCGGCCTGGAGCTGCGGACGACCGAGCCATCTGCTGCCGATCGGGCTCATTCGCTCGCCGACCGCTATCCTCAGTTGGTTGGTGCCGCCCGCCGTCTGCTGCGGCGATTCGGTCTCGAGAGTGACCTTATCGACAGGGGGACGGTGGTGGGGTGAGGAGTGACGGCTGGCGCCTGGTATGGTTGGTGCCTTTAATGAGTTGGGGTGTGTCTGTGTCTGTGTGTGTCCGGTGACTGACGCATTGACTGACGTGAGTACTCCGTAGGCTAGCGAGACTGACGATGACAAATGTCCCTTAATCTCCGTCTTTATGTACACAGGGCACACACAAAGACAGAGACAGACAGACAGACGGACAGGCGTGTGTCCCATACGCACGGCTAATAAAAGTCCCCCCTCCTCTCTCCCGCCCCTCCAGCTGTCGTCACTCGCGGGACAAAATTGCTGGGAGGGATCAGATCAATCGCAGCAAAGCCAAGGTGAGACACAGCAGCACTCAAGACCAATCACAACACTTGGCCCCATAGCAGAACAGACGAACAGACGCCGCCAACGAGCAATCAGACAGGCTCAAATGTGAGTAGGGTGTGTGTATGTGTCTGAGACACACACACACACACACACACATACACATACACACACAGAAAGAGAGAGAGACGGAAACTGTGGAGTGCATGGGCTATGGTGTTTTCGAGTGTGATGCCTGGCGTGACTTGCACACGCTCACACGTGCGCCTCGCCTGACTGTATATGTGCGTAACAAACAAACATCGGGTCTTTCAGATCGTATATGCCGGCCTATCTCTCCCCGTCTGTCTGTCTGTCTGTCTGTCCGTTGTGTTGGTGTTTGCAATGGCAAATGGCGGCAAGTGTCACGGTGGCTCTCTCTCAGTCGACCGACCGGTGGGCCGGCCAAGAGAGGAGTGAGTATATGGATGCACACTGCTACACTGTACTGGTGGTCGGTCTGCCGGTCGGTCACGGCAGACAAGAAGGGGCCATAGATGGGATAAACCGACGGACAAGAAGGCAGACAGGGAGAGGGAGAGAGAGAGAGAGAGAGATGGGCAAACCAGCCGCAGGATGTGTCAACAGAGGTAAGCCATCCATCCATCCATGCGTGAGCCAGCCAGCCCTGGACAAACAAAGAGGAGACAGCACGTCTGTGCACACACCACGCACCCACCGACCACCCCCACCCGCACCACCGCTCCACCCACGCATGCGATCGCTATGCACATATGATTGATGTCTGCATGTGTACCAGAATTAATGGCCTGGCTCCCTTGCTTGCTTGTGCGTGCCGATTGAGTAACGAGACATTCAATCGAAGTGAATCCCATTTATCATTCCCATGGTCTGCAGCGTGGATGTACAGCAATCCATCAACACACGCCAACACACAGATAGGTCGACACACGAACACACAGGCAGGGAGGTGACATGCATGACACGTATTGTGCCATGGTGATGTCAATGAGACAGAGCGGCCAGTCCAACAGGCGCAATGAACTATCGTCATGTGGCCTATGAAGTCATGTCTGTATCAGAATACATACACCCACCCATACCCACGAACCCTCCATCCACCCACAATACACTCACACGCACGCAGAGAGAGAGAGAGAGAGAGAGAGAGCAGTGACGCACGTCAGTGTTAAGTAGGTTACATTATATCTCGACAAATAAGCAAAAAGTTGAGAGGGTGTCAACAGACACATCACGATGCACTCAAAATACATCAAACATCACGCACTATTTGTGAGCCCACACGTCCACCTGCCCCTGTTCGATTGCTCGCTCCTTTGATGCCCTCTCCCGCCCACACACACACGAGACGACACGACGCAACAGACATTTACCCACTGCACAGCTGGCAGCCTTTCGCGAGGCGATCAGATAGCCTCACGAGGCAATACAGGAACACCCAACACACGCAACATACAACGACAATTGCAACACAGAACAAGTACCCACTGCAAGAGCTCACGCCCCTGTCCTCATGCGTACACAAACACTTAAAAAAGGGGGTCTCCAAAGAGCGACGAGGGATCCACCACTTCCTTCACTTCCTCCGGTGCCACTTCCCCTCTGAACAGAAAGGTATCACGTTGCACCACTTTGAAGGCCAGGTAGGGCTGATGGTGGTTGGCAGGCGGAGTGCAGACCCCGGCGGCGCACCCCTCGCTCTTGTAGGTTTCAACGTCGAACTTGATCTTCACCTCCATATCGTCCAATCCCGGCATCGATAGCCTCTCAACCTTACCCTGAAACACAAAGCAAATAGCCATTTGCAATAACGGATGGATCCTGTTTGGCGTCGGTGTGCGGTGTGTGAGTGCATACCCGATTCTTGACGAGGTCTTTCAGTATGAAGGAGAGGTCAAACTCCTTGACAAACTTGTCAAAAGAGCTCTTCATTCCCTCATAGATGGTCTTGAGCTGCTCAGTGACCTCGTCCTCCAAGAATTGCAGCGTGAAAGTGCCGAAGCCTCCCAGGATGTCCTTCACGATCGCCTCGCCTGCTTCGGCATACTCTTTCTCACCAATCTCCTTACCTACACACACGCACGCACACACACACACACACACAGAGGGAGAGGGAGAGGGAGACATACACAAATGTACGAAGGGCATTTTAATGTGCTGTCTCACCCCAAAACACTTCACCACACTTGAAATGTCCACCAAGAAGGCCTAGGGGGAGCTCACACCGCGGTCCGTATTCCTCATTTATCTCGCGCTTCTTCTCGTTGCGATTGCTGCGAATGTCAGTGCTGGTAGCCTTAGCAATTTCGTTTTTCACGTCAGCGAGTGTTCCTCATCGGCTTTCTCCGCGAACTTCTCATTCGCGCCATGTGGGTCAGTCGCAATCTCTTTGCCTCCTTGAATGACCCCAGGAACGTCACCCTTCCGCACAGCGTCGACAGTCTTCTGAACATTCTCTCGTGTGTTGTCCACAGCGTTCTCTACCTCCTTCTGAACTTCCTTGGCGGCCTTCTTGACGGTGTCCGCAACCTTCTTGACCGGGTTCGGCATCGAAAATTGCAGCTTGCGGTGCTCTTGGTCGCCCTCACCACCACCCCGTAGGCCAGACGGGGCCTGGAGTGACACGACACACACGCACATGCGTCAAGCACGTCAGAATGTGCAGAGGTGGAAATCAGTGGTTACTTGGACGACATCAGGAAAGAGAGGATGTCGAATCTCGGGCTCGTATCTGGGATAAGTCATGCGCTCGGTCACCTCCTGCACCGTCTTGATCGGGTCCGTTTTGATCGGGTCGTTTTCCCACGGCCGGTCGGGACCCAGCTTGCGGTGCTCTTCGTCGCCCTCACGACCACCTCGTAGGCCAGCTGACGGTGCCTGATGTGACACGACACACACACGCACAATGTCATGCGGCACACAACGATGTGACAGAGATGCGTCCAGCCGCCAATGCTTACCGAGGACGCAGGCCAGATGGCGATGGCGAGTGCAACCGTCAGCAGGGCCAGCTTCATTGTGACGGCTGAACAAGTGCTTGTCGAGGCTGAGGTAATGAAGAGCGCAAGGGGAGCAATGAAGAGCGGGATAGATGAAGAGGACGTAGCCGACGTCGATGATAGATGAGGGCAGACAGATGAGGGCGGCGGATGGAGACAGCTCGAGGCGAAGACTCCTCTCGATAGGAGAGAGCCTCGAGAACACATCCATCTCTACACATCCATCTCTTTTACATCTTTCTCTCCCCTCTCTCCCCGATTCTCTTCAGTTTTACGAATGAAAGCTCTAAGCACGTGTCGTTGAAGGGAGGGAGGCCTTCCTAGGTTTTGCTCGGGGAGCCCTGCATCGGGCCGATCTGAGCTGGTACGGACAGCACATGCAATCTGACACAGATGGCGATGGATGCGAGAGCTCTCGATTCATTTGCCGCTCTGTGTGTTCTTCCCGTTCTTCTCTTCTTCAGGCGCCTTTGAGCGGCTTCTTCATCATCGACTTCCGCTCATTGAGTCTCAAAGGATGGTGCGGTAACAGAGGGGAGGGAAGAGAATCTTGGGTATGCTTCGCTTCTGTGGGTGCAGATCTCTCACTCCTCACACCCTGCTACAGCTCATGACAGCGATGCTACCGCTTCATTCAGCCACTGTAGCCGTCAGTGGCGATGGTCATGTGCTGACTGAGTGAGTCGTCACGATATCTGATTCGGTGCCCGACGACCGGTGGCGGAGGCGCATTCTGCCGTCCCTTCTCGTCCATGAGGCGGTCTGTGTCCGAGCGACCTGCTGGGCGAAGGCGGCTCTCGTGACCGCCGCTCTGCTGGTGGAGCGCATCGACGGCTCCCTCGTCCGCCACTCCCTCACCGGCCTCATCGACATCGACCGCACCGCCCCTCTCCCATTCAGCTATGTGCTGCGGGCGGCCTATGTGCTGGAGCAGGGCAGCAACGAGTGGCCTGGGATGGAACGGTTCATCCGGCTGGCCGCCATCTATCGGCTGACGCCTGCCAATGGGCTGCCCCTGGTGCTGTCGGCTCAGTGGCTGGCAGCCCACCTTCCCAGCAGGACGGCATTCCACCAGCTGCCATTGGCCATGGCAATCTATCGGCTGTTCGGCCACCTGCTCACACACCACACACACAGCCTGGCGCTGCAGGAAATCGACAACCGACACTATTGGATCGGCGATGTAGAGACATTTCGTGTGGTGCCGTTGGGTGAGTTGCCGGGCGGCCATCGCTATGCTGACGGCTACAAGCGAGCTGACCCCGCCATCCGCTCGAGCACTTACGTCTTCCCCTTTTTTTCGGCATTCCTGCTGAACAGTCTGCTCTCCTACTGGTGCGATGGAGAGGGGGTGGGTCACAGGAGGGTGCTGCGTGCGGACATCGGCCGTGGTGACTGTCGGTATGGTCGTCTGGTGAGGACCGACGGCATCACAGAGGACTTGGGCATCGTCGCCGACTGGGGCTACGATAGGGGCAATCTTGACTGGGTATATGTGGGGATGGAGAAGCGCTTTGTCGTTGTGAGCGGCTTCCGCCAGGGCGAGACGATCGCTGCCTATCTGCTTGTGGAGTTCGGCTCCATCCATCTGTACACCACTGAGCGGCCTGCTGCCAATACGCCTGCATCTCTCACTGTCCGCTTCTCCGGGTCGATGCCCTTGTGGCGCCGTCTGCTGCGTCCATTCGGTCTCAAGAGTGACGTCATTGACAGGGGGACGGTGGTGGGGTGAGTGATGCCGGCCGGCTGGGGGGCTAATGGCTGCAGGGGTGTGCACGTGTGAGTGTCCGGTGACTTGACGCATTGAGCACGTGAGTACTCCGTAGACTAGAGAGACTGATGATGACAAATTTCCCTTAAGCCACGTCTTTATGTGTATTACACATGCGTCTGTCCATCCATCCGAGCAGTCGACCACGGGAAGGCAAGACCCACACAGACATGCACACACAAAGACCTCACACATCGTCTATTCGTGCCCTCATGCAGTCATCGTGTTGTGTTGGGTTCCATTAGGCATCCCCTGGCCGCCGTGTGAGAGATAGCGGTGTCGTTGTCTGTCGTTGCTGCGCGTGGTGTGTTGCGACGCGTTGAGAGAGCATCCCTCCATAGCTTCACAGGTATGGTGCGAAAGCAGCACAGGGCCCAGGGTGCCTCTGTCTGTTGATGGATCATCCGTGTGGTTTTGCTTCTCTTCGCCTCTGCAGGCAGCGTATCGAATCGGCGGCACGTGCCGGCTCAAAATCCTTCGTCGCCTTCAGCTCCCCCCGACCCGCAGGTACAGTGAATTCACATGGCCACGCTGAGCCACTCGCACCGTTCTCTCCATCCGTCACGTATGCGCGTTGTATGCTTTGCCGATCAGCATACACCTGACGACGGCAAGTCGTCGTATCGCCTCGTGAGCACCACTGGCCGCCAGCCGACCACATAACAACAACCCCGGGTAGCTACCTGCACTGACCACACAGCTCGCCATGCAACACACACAAGATGAATCAATCAATCAATCAATCATGGCCCCTTGCTGCGCTGTGGTGTCTGTCCTTATTGTGCAGGCCGGTTCTCGTCTATGTGAGGCGGAGCTGTCGTGTGTGTTTGCCAACTGGCAGCCGTGCGAGCTGACTCGGCTGCGTCCGGCCATCGGGACGTCTCTGTTCCTCCATGCTGCCGCCAACTACACCCACCTGGTCATCGACTCGACCGCCGAGAGACCGCGGCAGATGTGGGAGCGGATGCGGCTTCCCATCGCACACAAGAGGGGTGGCAGGGCGATCAACCTGCGGCATGTGGGCCACCGTGCTGACGACCCCAATGGCCAACGCATTCACGACCGACAACGGCGTGTCGGTGACCATGAGCAAGCTTGACCTTGACCTGCGCAACATCTCAGAGGCGGCAGGGATGGCCGCACTGGTATCGCTGGGCAGCGACAAGAAGCTCAAGGCGGTGTACATGGAGCTGACGGGGGTGGGGCAGAAGGGGCTGCAGTGGGGCCAGAGTGTGGAGCGCCTGCCGGCCGTCGAATACATGATAATCAAGCTGGATGGTGGGCTAGTGAAGGGCAGATCACACACACAGACAGACACTGTGTCTCTCTCTATCTGCCTCTGTGTGTGTGTGTGACTCATCAGTGTGTCGTGCCCGCCCGACCGTCACATCTCTGCTGCAGCTGCGAGGCCTGCGAGAGCTGCACGTATACGTTCACCGCAACGAGTGTGTCCAGAGGGCCATGACCCAGCACAACGTCCACGGCTTCACCATCACGCAGCGGAATGGCAGTGGCGACGTCGTGTGGTTTCGCCTCGAGTGGGCCGTGGAGGACGGCATGGTCGAAGTGACGGCTCAAAGAGAGGCACAAGAGGTATGCAGGCGCCAGGGAGGGGGGGGGGGG